CCCGGTGATGGGGGTGGGGGGTTCAGGCAGTGACAATCCCCTTTTCCTCTTGCAGATCCACTGGGAAGCCTCCCCGGAGAAGCGGATGGACTGCTTGCAGAAGGGCAAAAACAACAAGGTAGATAGAGGTGGCGGGGGGGTGTTGGGTGCTGGTGGGGGGGTGGCCCCCCCTTACCCCCCCCCCCCCCTTTTTCTCTTTGCAGAGCTGTCGGACGTCCGGCACTTCAGCACACGCACCCTCAACTACAGCACCCTGCTGCTGGAGGACGAGCGGGGCGTCCTCTACGTGGGTGCCAGGGGAGCCATCTTCGCCCTCAACTCCAGCGATGTGACCGACGGCTCCCACCGCACGGTGAGCACGGCTGGTTGTCCTCTCCTGTCCCACACCGCCCGGCCTCTGCCCGAATTGTGGCCACCCTCTCCCTGCTCATCCTCCCTCTCGGGTCCTGCCCGGAGGTGCTGTCCCCAGATGTGTCCCCTGATGCCCCACTGGATGCCCAGTCCTTCTCCCCAGCGTGGGGACAGCAGTGGGAGATGTCCCCAGGCTCAGAACTGCCTGCTTTGGGGACACCCTGGCGGGATGAGGGGCGGGGGGGGAAGCACACCCCATGGGAAGGACACCCCAAAATCCTCCAGGCTCCTGCAGGTGCTCTGGGGTTTCGACCACAGGTCAGGGTGGGGGGGCTGCTCTCCCCCCGGGGTGGGGGGGATGCGGGCAGGGTGCCATCTTGTTCTCTGAGCACCTCAGAGCTCTGAACCTCTGAGCTCTGAGCAAAAGAGAGGATTTTAGCATCTCTGATGGCTTCAGCAGAGGCTGGAGCCTGCAGTGATGAGGGGGGGGACCACCCGGTGATGGGGGCGGGGGGGTCAGGCAGTGACAATCCCCTTTTCCTCTTGCAGATCCACTGGGAAGCCTCCCCGGAGAAGCGGATGGACTGCTTGCAGAAGGGCAAAAACAACAAGGTAGATAGAGGTGGCGGGGGGGTGTTGGGTGGGGGGGGACACGACACCACCACTGCTTTCCCCCGGTGGTGACGCCTGTCCTCCCCCCACCTCTGCAGACCGAGTGCTTCAACCACGTGAGGTTTCTGCAGAGGCTGAACAGCACCCACCTCTACGCCTGCGGGACCTACGCCTTCCACCCGCTCTGCGCCGCCATCGTGAGTGCCACGGGGGCCACCTCTCCCCTGACACCATCTCACCTTCTCCCCATCCCTTCCCTCCAGCCCCACTCCCTTCCTGCCCCCATATCAGCCCCTTCGCAGCTCACGGTGGAGGCGAGTGACCCCCCCAGGCTGGGGAGGAGGGGGATTGGGTTGGGGACGCAGCCACCGTGACGCAGGTGCCCAAAGTCCCCACTCGGGTGCTGGGGATGGACTTTGACCCCATAGCGAGATGGCCAGGGGCAAGAATGGTACTGGGGGGGTTGGGGGTTGAAATGTGGGCTCAGTGGGGCCAGCGAGGTGGGATGTACCAGCCCTGGAGCTGGTGCCCAGCCCCGGCTGTTGAAGGGTCCCTTTCCAAAGCAGGGGCTGCAGACTGGTTGGTGGCAACTGGGGACAGTGATGGCGGCAGGGCTGACTCAGCAGCTCCTTCCCAGGGATTTCCCAAGCTGGGGGGGTCCCTGTGTGGCCGTGACTCACGGCAGCGTGGCCGGGGGCAACCACATCCCCCCGGCAGTGGGACTTTCACCCACGTTGCAGTGACTCCTTGGTGACTTGGCCACCCTTTGCCCAGCTCACTCCTGGAGCTGGGGTGCAAAGTGGCCTGGGGCTGGTCCCCCAGCGTGGCTGGGGATCCCCAGAGGGCCTGTGCCCATTCCCATGGCCATGCCACTGGTCCGGTTTGGCCATCGCACGCCCTGGGAGTGAGGCAGAGGAGCTGCCGAGCTGGAAGGGCCCTGTCATTATTTGGTGTTCTTTGAACTGCAAACCCCAAAGAAAATAATAACTCCTGCCCATGACAGGGATGTCACCTGGGGGGACCCAGCCCGGGCTGGGCAGCGTCTGCTGGCCAGGCACAGCCCAGGAACGTTGGCTGCAATGGCTGGGTCCTGCCCGGTGCCCACGCGGTGCCAAAGTGGGGTGCCAAAGCTCCCCTTCCCCTCTGAGCCCTCCCCTGAGCTGGGGGCTCTGGCTGACTCTTCAGCCTGGAGAAGAGAAGGCTGAGGGGAGACCTTCTTCATGCTGACAAGTCTCTAAAGGGTGGGTTGGAGGAGGATGGAGCCGGACTCTTTCCAGTGGTTCCCAGGGACAGGACAAGGGGCAACGGGCACAAGCTGGACCATGGGAAGTTCCACTCCAATGGGAGGAAGAACTTGTTTGGGGTGAGGGTGGCAGAGCCCTGGCAGAGGCTGCCCAGGGAGGGTGTGGAGTCCCCTTCTCTGGAGATCTTCAAGCCCCACCTGGATGCTCCTGAGTGATGTGCTCTGGGCAGCCCTGCTTTGGCCGGGGGGTTGGACTGGAGGGTCTCTAGAGGTCCCTTCCTACCCTGACAATTCCCTGATTCCATGATTCTGACAGGCTGGAGCGTGCCGGGGTGGGGGGGTTGTATTGCCCACACAAGGGCATGGCCATGGGCATCGTTGTGTCCCCACCAGCAGCCTCTGTGGAGAGCCAGGGGCTGGCAGGTGAGGTGGGTCTGTCCCCTCCTGCGTAACCTGGTCCCTTGTCCCCCTCAAGGATGCCGACAGGTTCACGTTGCCGGCCCACTTTGAGGAAGGCAAGGAGAAGTGCCCGTACGACCCAGCCCGTGGCTACACCGGCCTCATTGTGGGTAAGTGGCACCTTTCCCAGGGCTGGCAGGGACCTGTGGGATGCCACCGACCCTGGTCCCATACCCAACATCCCCACAGTGGGGTTCCCCAGCTGGGTGGGCTCTGCGTGCGGGGGGCTGAGCAAGCCATGTCCTCCTCCTCCTTCTCTGCCTGGGGCACGGGGATGCTGGTGACTTTTGGGGCTGTCCCTGAGGGCGAGTGGCCGTGCTGATGGGTACCCGTCCTGCCCAGATGGTGGCTTGTACACGGCCACGCGCTACGAGTTTCGGAGCCTCCCTGACATCCGGAGGAACCTGTACCAGCGGCCGCTGAAGACGGAGGAGTCCCCGCTGCACTGGCTGAATGGTGAGCCCTCCCCGTCCCCCGGTGTCACCGGGCTGTGGGATGCTGTACATGGCCACCCCTGCCACGGTGGTGGCTGACCTCTGCCTCTCACTCTGCGACCCCCAGATGCTGAGTTCGTGGCCTCTGTGCTGGTCCGGGAGAGTAAGGACAGCCCCGTGGGCGACGATGACAAAATCTACTACTTCTTCACGGAGAGGGCGGGTGAGGAGACCACGTCCTTCTTCGACAAGAGCCAGGTGGCCCGGGTGGCCAGGGTGGCCCGTGTCTGCAAGGTAGGCATGTCCCCGGCCACAGGGAGCCAAGCTCTGCTCCTCCTGGCACAGGGGCTGCGTGTCAAGAAGAGTGTGGCCAACAGGTTGAGAGAGGTCATCCTGCCCCTCTGCTCTGCCCTGGGGAGGCCCCATCTGGAGCACTGGGACCAGTTCTGGGCTCCCCAGTTCCAGAGGGACAGGGAACTGCTGGAGATGGGACAGCAGAGGGCTACAGAGATGATGAGGGGCCTGGAGCATCTCCCTTATGAGGAAAGACTGAGGGACTTGGGTCTTTTTAGTCTGGAGAAGAGAAGGCTGAGGGGGGATCTGATCAATGCCTATAAATACTTCAAGGGTGGGTGTCAGGAGGATGAGGCCAGTCTTTTTTCAGTGGTGCCCAGGGACAGGACAAGAGGGAATGGGCACAAACTGGAATATAAGAAGCTCCATCTAAACATGAGGAGGAACTTCTTTGCTCTGAGGGTGGCAGAGCCCTGGCAGAGGCTGCCCAGAGAGGTGGTGGAGTCTCCTTCTCTGGAGACATTCAAGCCCCACCTGGACATCTTCCTGTGCGACCTGCTCTGGGTGGCCCTGCTTTGGCAGGGGGGTTGGACTAGATGATCTCCAGAGTTCCCTTCCAACCCCATGTGATTCTGTGTCTGCACCTTGGGGGGGAAACTGAGGCATGGGCAGAGAGCAGGGGGGGACACGCAGACCCCCAGCAGCCTGTGCAGAAATGCTCCCTGCGCCCTGCCAGAGCGACGTGGGGGGGAAGAAGATCCTGCAGCGCAAGTGGACCTCCTTCATGAAGGCACGCCTGGTCTGCTACATCCCCTACTACGAGGTGCTGCGCAGCGTCTGCAGCCTGGACGAGGGTGGCTGGGCCAGCACCGTCTTCTACGCCGCCTTCACCCTCTCGGCGCAGTGGTGAGCGGGGCAGCAGCCGAAACGGCCGGGGCTGACAGTGGGATGGGGTCGGGGAGGACACACCGGAGGTGCTCAGGCAGGTTGCGGAGGTGGGGGGTACATCAGTGGGGAGCACACGTGTGTCTGCTCGGGCTCAGGTGGGGCTCTGCCCCTCCAGGAGGACCATGGAGGCCTCGGCCGTGTGCCGCTACAGCATCTCGGGGGTGCAGCACGCCTTCGAGGGGCCCTACATGGAGTACCAGGACTCGGCTCGCAAGTGGTCCCGCTACGACGGTGCAGTGCCCGAGCCCCGGCCCGGCTCTGTGAGTGCCACGGGGTGTGGGGCAAAGCTGGTTG